GGGGGGAGGTTGTTTTTTTTCGAAACTGTTTTGCGGCGCTCGTAACTGCATAAAGTCACATGAGCGCGCTGGACACATTAAACATTTTGAGTTGGTAGGAAATTTAGAATTTTGACCGGGTGGCGGCCGAAGCCTACTTTCGTTGGTTTTAGACCACCAAGGGATCTTTAACATGCGCAACTTCTGGACAGTTTGGACAATATAAGGTAAACACCTAGGAAATTTACGTGGTGTAGACGAAAACTGCATTGCAATGTATGAAATGTGTGTTGGTGAGTGTGTATTCGTTTGTTTGTGTTTGAATTTTTTTTAAAAGTGTGTGAGAGTGTGTGTGTGTGTGTGTGGAATAGTCAGTGTGTCTGTTTGTGTGTGCTTGTCAGTGTGTAGCAGGTGTTTGTGAGAAAAACAGTAAAAGAAATATAGATATATAAATAGATAGATAGATAGATAGACAGATATATAGATAGAAAAATAGATAGATAGATAGATAGATAGATAGATAGATAGATAGATAGATAGATTTTCCATATTGTGTATCTTTCACCATACACCAATTCTTTGCTTATGTGAGGGTGATTGTTTTAAACAAGTGAATGACAAGTGAATGTGTATATATATATATATGTACACACAGTCAAACCTGCTCTAACAGCCACCTGTCCAAGACAATATTCTATACGACTGACCAATTTCCAAATCCCCCCTCCTCACCGCCCGATTTCCTCACCCCTATCCCTCTCCTTTTTTGCGAAATTAAAAAAAAGAAATAGCAATAGAATGACACTGTCGAGGACATCCACTTTTCTCCAATAAAACGCGCGGTCGGTCTTTTGGTGCGATGTGTTGACCGTTAGTGCATCAGATAAATGTTCACAGACGTGGCTACATACATAAATATGAGCATTTTCTGGAGACAAGATACCCACAAAATGAAGACCCCCCCCCTCCCAATCGTCGCTCTCCCACCCCACCCCCACCCCCCTCTTCTCCGTCTGCCTGAACATAAGTTAACAAGGTAGAGTTACTGCCCTTGCCGGGTCCCCCTCTAGTCGGGTTCGGGTAACGCCCCCTGGTGCTATTAGTGCTTGCCTCCCCTGACACGAGGCCCCGGGTAGTGGTGGGCAAAATCATCATAACCTATCCGGATAACCGGATAATTCTAATTGAAACATTTTCCGATTTCAGACTCTTTCACTCTCCTTCATAACCTGTTTGTCAAAGTGGGTGCCCCCATTTGTTGAAGTGGTTCTAACCCGTTTGTCAAAGTGATTCTAACCCATTTGCCGAGCGGTTCATAACACCCGAAGAGGTGCATTATCATATTATCCGGATTTTGCCACAGCGACTCACTGCCCAGCCCTAGCCCTGGGGTGTGGGCTGGTGCCGGCTGGGAACTACGCAAAATCAATTTCTCCCAATGACGCCATCAGTTTGTGTGTAGTGCTGTCCTCATAGGCTGGAGGGCCATTCTGGTGCTTGGCAATGCTAAAGAGGGAGGGAGGGAGAGAGGGTGGGAAATAGGGGTGGGCGGGGTGGGGGAGGGAGATGGGGAGAGGGAGAGAGACGGTGGGAAATGGGGGAAGGGGTTGGGGAGAGGTTTGGAGAGAGAGATGGTCAAAGATTTAGGGAGAGAAAGAGAGACGGGGAATGAGAGAGAGAGAGAGAGAGAGAGAGAGAGAGAGAGAAACAGAGTGTACACGAGTACGATTGTGTCTGTGTGTGAACAAAACAACACAAAACAAATTCAACCTTTTTTACACGGAAGCACACACTAGAACTACACAGACAAACTACTGTCCTTTTCAATTGAAGTAAAAGAAGATTGAAGTATTCAAGAGTAACATACAAAGAAAAAAAACGAATAGAGAAGAGATAAGACGATCGTATTTTGACAGGAGAAAATTAATAAATCACACCAGAGCACCCTCCAACCACCTCTTTGAGTTTTGAGTAAACAGAAACAGGTCGACATTGTTTAACGTTCATCTAGAGTAGAGAAGGAGCAAGGCAGACAGACAGAGAGACAGGGAAAGAAAATAAATAGGATCAACCTGTGACACCCTCCAACCACTCGCCATCAACTCGTATTATTGACCTTTAGTTAAGAGTCCCCAAAAGAAGAAATAAATACAATTTAAAAGTTCAACAACTTCTTAGACAAGGGCGCCTTTAAATAATTGATAGCCGATCCAGGCCGTGTCATCGATTTTCGCATCAAAAGGAACCAGTTCCTCTCCCCACTCCCTTCGTTAGTATCACAGTCTTGGGGTGTCGCATTTCTAACGTCTAAGACACACACGGAGCAACCGAGGAGGGGCTGGGGCAGTCAGGCTGGCTGGTTGTTCTAGCGTTCGTTAGAGTTTTACGGCTCTTACAAAAAACACAAATAGGTCATGCGAGTGCCAATGATTAGAGGTGTAACAAGAGAGTTTTAGTTTTTCATAAGAGTTTTAATACGGCTCTTGCAACACCAATGGGTTGTACAAGTGCTGAAGGTTAAAGGTGTTTCTAGAGAATTTGAGTCTTTTTAGTAAGGTTTATTAAGGCACTTTCAACACAATAGGTCAAATAAGTGCCGGAGATTAAATGCATTACAGGAGAGTTTAAGTTTTAAGTTGGAGTTTTACGACACTTGCAACATAAATAGGCCGTAGAAATGCCAAAGAAGAGAGTTATTACTACAAAAGAGCAAAATACGAAAACAGAAGGAGGCGAGATTAGGACGACAGGTACTAGAGAGAAAAGACAGAGCAAACCACACACACTCATCATAGTTACATAAACAAACAATAAAAATGAGGTAGAGCCTAGAAAGAAGAAAAAGCAGTTACCTTGGAAAATTGTATGTCCTTAAAAATCTGATAGAAATTAGTTTTGTTTTGATTGAAGTTAGGATCTTTGCAGACACAGGTTTGGTCCTTTCGACAATGTAGCTGCAGGCAGGCAGACAGACAGACAGACAGACAGACAGACAGACAGACAGACAGACAGACAGACAGACAAAAGAGAGAATAGACAGGCCCAGGGACGAACAAACACCGTGATGGAGGGGAAAATGCCAGTCATCTCTTCCATCTGTCGTCAGAATTGGGTGGAGATTAATGTTTTCAAATGATTTCTTCCCCCAGTCTCTCTCTCTCTCTCTCTCTCTCTCTCTCTCTCTCTCTCTCTCTCTCTCTCTCTCTCTCTCTCCCTCTCTCTCTGATTCTTCCCCTACTCTCTCTCTCTTTCTCTTTCTCCCCTACTCTGTTTCTCTCTCTCTCTGTTTCTCTCCGTCTCTCTCTATTTATATTTTTCTCTCTCTCTCTCTCTCTCTCTCTCTCTCTCTCTCTCTCTCTCTCTCTCTTTTCCTCTCTCTATCTCTCTCTCTCCTATTTCCTCTTTCTCTCTGTCTGTGTGTGAGTTTGTTTTTCCTCTTTCTCTCTATTACTGTATATTACAATCTCTCTCTCTCTCTCTCTCTCTCTCTCTCTCTTTCTCTCTCTCACTCTCTCTCTTCCTCTCCCTTCTTCCCCCACCCCCTAACTCACTCTCTCTTTATCTCTTTCTCTCTGAATCTACCATACCCCTTTTGCCCTCCATTTTCCCATCAGTAACATAAAAAAACACCAAAAAAAAAAAAAGTCAGTTCTCAATAAACAAAGTTAATGTGCTCCTACATCTATCTGCCAACTCCACTGTCTCACAATTTACTTTTACTTTTTTCATCCTCCGTTGCCGTTAAGCGTCGAGGGGAGATGCAGATTTCTATGGTAGGCTGCAACATTACACATTATTCTGACCATGACGTTCTACAAACTGACACAACATTATCACCCCGGCATACCATGTCACAAAATGTTTGTCACAGCCAAACTCCGGATCTAGCAACAGGCACCTTAAACCGTGGGTTTAACACCCCTTTTCAACGATGTAAGGTTATTTAAGGGACTCAAAATTCAACCTCCGTCTCCGATAGGAGAGAAGATTGGTTACATGCGCGGTGTGATGACGTATAAAACTAAAATAGGTGCTAATGAATTAAAGCAAGTCTTTTGAAGACGAATTCCCTCGTAGAGCGGAAATTTCACGCGTAAATGAGACAATTTTCGACCACACACAGTGCATCTAATTCTGTGTCTGGAACATCTGCGTGGTAAAGAGAATTAACAACAAGACGAGCTATGGAGGCGAAACCAAGGGGGTTGTGTGTGTTTATGTGTGTGTGTGTGTGTGTGTGTGTGTGTGTGTGTGTGTGTGTGTGTGTGT